TCAAAATTTTGTATAAACGGAGTTATAAGCGTTTAATGTTTCCAAATTATGTCCGACCTCTCGTATTGACTCAATCCACTGTGCGTCGCAGCAGGGAATCCCCCCTCTTGATTTCCGAGATGCGCATGACGTCACTATCTACGCCGCATCAGCCTGACGCAACTTTGATAATTACAATTCTATAGTTTTCCTTCATTCTGAGAAAAAAAAAAACTACCAAGTAAACACTTCAAAACGACGAAAATAAGACATGCTTGATTGATTCATCATATGGAGGTTCTGAAGGGGCACAGCGTGCCCTTACAGAACACTCCCTGAGTTACTTGTTCCCTCTCCTCGTGGTGAAGTAAAAATTATGTCTCCCCCGTTTTTTACGGACAGGATGACCACTGAACCTTACAATATGAGAATACAGACGAGGAATAATTTTTTAAATGTATTCTGTTGCAGTGCAAATTTATGGGAGGGATTTTTGAAATCACGGAGAGCAAAGTAAAATATGCTTATAGTAAATCCCCTAGAAATTTTGTAAACAGTGAAACTTCAAATGGTCAAGATGTAGCACAAGAAAAAAGTCTAGGAAGTCGAGAACTTCTTTCTGATTAGCTGAAAAAGCTTAAAAAAATAAACGGATTTTTTTGGAATATTCGCCTTCAATAAGCAATTTTTGATCTTCTTGCTCTCCCGTATCTACAGGGTGACAATTTTTCCTGGTTTTCAAAGTTCTCTGACTTTTGAGGGATTTTCAACATCAATGCCCTGACTTTCCAATTTGTTTTGGACATGATTTTCATCAACATTCTTTTCACGGACAGGACAAGAACGAAGTCTCTTGATACTAAACAAGTGAAACGTTTTGGCTGGAAAAAAAAAACGTTCGAACTGCCGCAGCAAAATTTCCTGACAGTTTAGGGTTGGTCAACATTCTCTACTTCTAAAGAACACATCACTCTGTGTTGAGGATGTAATACACCGTATTTCATTGAAAAGAAAAAAAAAATGGAAGGAGGCTAAGACTTCTAAAGAAGCATCCCTTCTCACTGCTATTATTTAATCACCTCATTTAAAATAATAATTCGGCCCAGATTGCCTCGCGCTACGTCACACGTCACTTGCTTACATCACGTTATGACACGGAAATGGAACGCACCCCCTCA